TTTTGAGGTGCCGTGGTATAGCAGATTTGCAACAAGGACACTTTTTATACAGCGGCCTGGATGCACAATGGTTTCCCTACATTTTTCATACATTTAATAATTTATCTCTGTTATTGAAGTTTCAAGGCCCCATGTTTTGTATGCAGAAAATGATACTGGGTAAACTACTGCTTAGAAGGTCCTTTAAATAAGACAAAAATATAAAGGGGAAACATATCAGGTAAGTTCTAGCTTCTTTACATGTTTTGTCGTATTAAAATAACCTTATTAGCCTTAAACAAAAAGACAAAATGAATTTTTAGGTTTTGAGTCGAGTCCTCCAAATGATGAATGTATACAGTAGACATTAGCTGTAGTTTTTGACTGGTATTGCATTCAATTAAGGCTTTCGATACTTTTATATCTGGTCTTTGAGTCAGACATACGCCCTTTACTGCAACAGGAAAAACACTGGGTGAAAAGATGTAGCAATACCAAATTTAAAACAATATTCCAACTTGTGCAACAGAAATAAAACCGTACATCCTTCGTACATAATGTCCATCGTGCAGCATATTAGGGAAGGTAAACCCAGGACATGCTAAACAATATCTCCAAAACCCTAGAGTTGCGTGTGAGTTTGTGTGTGGTTGAGCCTGTAGCGAGAGCCTGATTGAACAGAGAGAAGCGTCCCTGTGTGGCCTGTTTCTCATGCTAACTAGCCCGTGGTTGGCCGTGGATGCTGTCTGAGGCGAGGGCTACGCGGGGACAGTACAAGTGTGTGTATGTGCATGTGTGTTGTACCTATACGAGTGTGTATGTGTTGCTGTGGCGGTGTGCGTTGGTCGCTGAGCCGATGGGCAGCTGCATGAGCATTCCTGTTGACGTTAAGCGGGCTAAGCAGTACCAGCTTGCCGGGCTCTTAACCTCCCCTCTCCGAATGAAGATCTAATGAAGTCCTGAAAGGCTTCCTGACTCCCTCATCTGGCTTTGTTTAGGCCCAACTCACCCCCCAACCACCATACACACACACACACACACACACACACACACACACACACACACACAGCCCCCCACTCCAGAGGAAGGCCATTAGCCCCTTGAGGAGACAGTCACCGAGGCTGATAGGAACATATTGCTGAGTTTTTGATAGAGAAACTTCATAGATAAAGGCACCAATTTGCAATTCTTTTTTTCTTAGTAATAAATTCAGCGGAGCTAATTTTTCATTTTAAATTATCTGTCCATTAAGATCAATTCAATTCGATTCAATGTATTCTTGTATAGCCTTAAATCACAACAGTAGTTTTCTCAGAGGACTTATCAAAACCATCGAATTGGCTAATGGTCCATAAAGTTCAGATTACCAATGTCCATAATTGATGATAAATGTCCATAATGTTGTTGAATGTTGAGTTGAGTGTCCTGGATCATCACCACTGTCTTTTTAGTCAGACCCGCTAATAGTCTAACAGACCCTAGTTCAATTATCTCACTTCCTGCTGTTATGAAATCCTTTTGTTGAACTCCCCCTCTCTCAAACTTTCAAGATAACTTTTTACAGTGTTGAATGAATAAATCTCTCGTGACAAAAGATGGTTTGTGTGTCATTCTCAGTCCACCGAGCAAAGCTACAGGCGGCTCCAGATAAATGGAACAAATAAAAGGAGATGGGCCTTTGTGGCTCTGGGAGGATTTCAGACCCCTCTCTCTCCTTTAGCACGTGTTATTGCACTTCATTTTAATTTTATACTTTGTGTATGCTCAATAGGAAAATTGTTTCTATGTGGTTATGGCAGTCTATTGAGAGCGAGGCAAGTGAAAGAGAAAGGAGGGGCAGGCATGGCAAATAAAAAACTGCGGCACTTTAAATTGAATTTGTATTCACCAGGAAGTGGGTTAACCCAGTTAAAAGTCAGGGAATCCAATAGCACGCGCTGATATGTGGTGTCGAGACAATCTCCTTTGGGGAGCTCAGGCGCACCTCATATGCCGCTTTCCTCGGCTCATAGCATGTTCCCAGGTAATAATAATACATCATTTTGCTTAACGGCATATTTATGTAAGAAGTGGCTCTGTGTTGTTCTTTGAAATCAGCTCCTCAGATAGATCCACCGCTCACTGCTGCTGCCACTGCTGCTGCTGCTACTGCTGCTGCTGCTGTTGAGTCTCTTATCACTTTTTCAGATGCAAAATTCTATTACGGAGCATGTTTGCTTTGTCACACTCAGATGCCTTCTCTTCAGGTTGCGTTTGGATGGAGGGGGTGTGCGCCTGTTTTCCCTGACATATCTGTATTTTTTAGGAGACAGTGCGTTGATGTTTGTTTCTACCCCCATCCATCACATGTTAAAGAAAAAAGCATGTTTCCATAAAAAGCAGGGAGTGGGAAATCTCAGTCTTTGTTATTGGAATATATTGACTGCACTTGGTTCATTGACTTTGTATTACAGGAGGTTGCACAACTGTCAGCAAATAGGGAGAAATGTGTTTCAGCCATTTGCTTTGGAACATTTGAAGCTGATAATTTCTGTATTGAGTGTATATGGGGCACTTTTTTGAGTGTGTCAGCAGGCGTGTTTTTGCACTATGGATTTTTATGTGAGGTACAGTAACAATGACACAAAGGAGAGAGGGAGAGGATGAGATGGTTTTGCAGTAGCCCCCAGCGCTGTCAGTGGTGGTCCTCTCTTCCAGTCGGAGGCTCCACACAGTCACATCCACATCCTAGCATCACATACCAGAGCTGGTCCTTAGGCCTCCGGTTCTAAACCACATACCACATTCCAGCCAGTGTCCTCGGCCTTTCCCTGCCCTTGTGTAGGCAACATTTCAACAAGAGTTTTAAACAAATTATGACTTTTTACATCTGATAACCAACTATTTTAAATGTATTAGTTGCTTTGAACAGAGTAAGTTTATATTAACAAAATGCTACATTCATCCTTCTCTAAATACATTTCTGATGTTTTGTTTAACCTTTATTTAACCATGAAAGTACTATTGAGCTTATGAACCTTTTTTTCCAAGGGAGTCCTGGACAATAGGCAGCAAAAGTTACACACAGATACACTCAATTACAGATTATAAAAACAGTTACACACAATATCATACAATTACAGATTATGGAAACAAATACATGTCAATGAGGAAGTTTCAAGTCCTCTTAATCTGGATATTAAAGCATACCCTATATGTATAGCACTAAATCATAGTGTGGAGGACAAAACAGTTGCCAAAAACAGATTGGAGAATCAAACAGTTCAAACACATGAAATGTAATGATACAAAACCATTGGTACGTATGGGGCAGATGACCAAAGTCCATGAATGTTGTTGGATCATCACCAGCTTCTGTCAGAATCCTGGGAGCTTGAAGGTTCAGAGCAGTATCTTTGCTGTTCCTAGCTCTGCACTTTTCTCGACCGAAATTTACGAGGTTGTTCCAGGCTTTAAAGTGATTGTCTGGAGTTTGTCAGAAAGAAAGACAGAGAGGTACTTGATTTGAAAAAAACGACGCAAGCTCCCTCCCCCTTCCTTTCTGATTGGTCTACGCCTACATTTTTGTAACATTTTTAAGTTCATCAGAGAACACATTATACATATACATTATTAATACACATGCACGGAGGTTTTCAGCATTATTTGTTAACGTTTTAATTATTATTTTTTTTTTGTTAATGCACAAAAAAAGCGATCGTGGCAAACCCGGAAGTGCTATTATCATGAATTGCACATTATAGGACACATCTGCAGAGCATCTGATTATGTGTGAGATTTCATAACACTTTGAAGCAACTTTTGTTAAAGTTAAACTCATCAATCAGAAGCCAGCCAGTACTTTTTCCTTGTTTTGTCTATCTGAAGGCCAAGCTACATGGCACCGTGGCAGCTGCTGATTGGAGGTCTCCATGCCTCCGCTCTGTATAATACACTTGCATTCTGTTGTATCTGTTGATTGTGCTGTCTCTACCATTGACAATAAAACATGTCTTCTGTCTGAATTTAAGACGCGATCCCAGACTATGCCATCTTCTTCAGGTGGTGGAAGGATGCGGCCTCACATATGGATATAGGTTCAGTATATAAATGATTATGATTATAGGTTCAGTATACAAATGATTATGATTATAGGTCCAGTATACAAATGATTATGATTATAGGTCCAGTATACAAATGATTATGGATATAGGTCCAGTATATAAATGATTATGGATATAGGTTCAGTATATACATAAGTACCTCAGCGCGGATGTTCAGAATTCTTTGTTCAGTTTTCATGTAGTTCCAGAGCCTAATAGAAGCTTGATTCGGAGGTTCAGCAAAAACAAACAATTGAGCATGCGCGCAGCTGCGAGCATCAGCGCCGATGATTGACAGCCCTTGGCATGACTCGATTGGTTAACGTGAACGGCATCGTGGATTCTGAGCTATAGCTAAGAGAAGGGAAGGCGGTACTTGCCCGTTATATTAGAATCAATAAAATGACTTATTTTATATCAATTTAACACATTTCCTAAAATTTGTAATTCATTTAGAGTTACAGACTATCACTTTAACAACTCTGCAGCTTCAGGGTCACTGCACCATATTCACCGATCACCACCATCACAAAACAGTTGGATTCTGTCACTCCTTTTCACAATAATTCATCATTTGATAAACTTTTTCAGACAGACCCAAAAAAAAGAGAGGATTACTCTTGCTCATCCTAAAAGGTAATAAAATAGTAACTCACAGGGCTCTGTCTTAGCATTTAGGTCAAATTCTTTACAAAGGTACACCAGCTTTAAATACATTTGCCTGTTTGCCATAGATATATTTCACCAGTGGCTGTTTGTCGCCATGATTTAAAACATGTACTTTAGTGTAGTAAGTCCACACAAATTCTTCAAGACCCAGCAACATATGTAATACTTACTTTTAACCTTTTCGGCATCAGATGGGGACATATACGTACTCTCTGACCTCTCTCATCCCCTCGTCCCATTATGGAGCTTCCCTTTCGTCTCCACTCAGCCTCAGCCGTTCCACCCCAGCCGGGTCTCCACATTTAAAGCCCATTCTCCTCCGCTGTCTGCTTCTGGAGAGCGGCCGAAGTGCAACATCTCCCCATCCGTTAGCCAGGAGCCAGAGATCCCAGCCAGAGATGCCATCTGATACAAGTCTATCATAATGAAGGTCCAGCATGGGGCTAAATGAGTTTCCACCTCAGCCGCGCGAGGGGCTAATGACAAAACAGCCTCCCTGTGCTCCTTGGCCTGCCGCTAGCTTTAATCAGGGCATATGGCACGCGCCGAAACTGCTTGGCTAGGAGGAAAACTGAGCAACTAAGGCAGGAAGTGTAGCTGCTGGTGAAACAGTTTGGGAATATGCAATCGAACGGATATTTTAACATATAAGAAAACGTTTGCAGGCTAAAAATATTTGACTATTGTGAAGCGCAGTGTCAAGATTGAACAAAGCCAGAAGCAGTGATGCTCTATTTCTAGTGGTGGATAAGCAGTTTTTCTTGCCACCTTTAAAGCAACACCTTTTCTCTTTGGCTTTAAATACAAAGAGACACATTTTGGGTTTTATGTGTATATATATTTCTGTATTTTTATATGTTTTTTATTGTGCTGTATTTTTACTGTTTGCCGAGCACTTTGGTAAGCCTATAGGCTGCTTTAAAATTTTTAGATTCAATTCAGATTTGAGTGATTGATTTAAGCTAGATTTCTTCAGAAAACATGGTAAGTTGCATATCATACACAATGTTTACATAATTTCCGTTTCCGATGGTTATTTTTTCCTGCAGAACATAGTGACTGCAGTCTTCCTGATCACATAATTCCCACATATAAAACGCACATATCTCGTTTCTATGTAATTCCAATGACGGTAATAGCATTGACAGTCAAGGTGGGCTTGTAAAAAAAGGGCAGACATATCCCCAGACAAAGACCTTATTGGATCCGTGAGTGTGTGTGGGCGCCTAATACACACACAACAGATCACTAATGGCTTTTATAGATTTATATTAATTTTCAAGATTTAATGTGCCTTAAATAGCAGAAGATCAACTAGGGAAAACAAAAGTGTATTAGTGCCCCGGTGGTATTAAAACGGTGCAGGGGGTGGCAGCTTAACAAATAGGCTACTCCGCTTCCTCAGCCCACCTTATGTGGCTCCCAACTTAGCCAAATTAGCTTAACGGATTGTAAATGCTCCACTAATATAAAACTGTTAGCGAGCCCTTTAAAGTGTGACTTGTCCTTTTTTTAGGATTTGTTTGGTTGTGGAAATTAAATTGAAAACGCATAACAACGAGGCTTCCCCTTTTAATTTGATTAATTCTCCGTTGTTTGCACAGATCCCCGGTGAAGACAGCCATGACGTTTTGAGGTTATTTGTTCCACTGTCTAATGACAATTTTCCCGCACAATAACATTACTTAAAGAGCTGCCTTAGAGCAAGTTTTTTTTTTTTTGCCTTGAAATTACAGACAAGGCTACAAGCCAAGGGGGGCTAATAACACAGTCCTAATTCTGCACAGAGGCTACTATGCTGCTGCTGCTGCTGCTACTTGGCTAATAGCTTATAAAGGATGATCAAAACTTAATTTAGTTTAGCCTCTTGCGGTCCACACCAGTCATTCTTTTCATCTAAAGACGTATACCAGCGCCATATTGAATCAAGTGACTGATGACCTCTCAATTTTCAATCTCGGAGCCATTAAAGTTGCACCAAATTTAATGGAAGATGTTTTTGCTCCTCGACTTGATCTTTAATCATTTCAAATAATGGTGTTCGGAAGTCAATTCCAGACGCATGTATAGCAGTTGAGAGTACATTTACTTGTTTCATAAATTTTCGCTCCCCACAACAAAGTTTTAATTCCAATTCTGGGTGATGCTATTCTGAATTGTTGACGAATTTCCTTGCGTGACTCCAAGGTGAAGTTAGAAAGATACATTTATCTGCTTGATGAATCTAAACTTAAACGTAACAATGTTTAGTTTTAGTTGTGTGTGAATGTGCAAAGGATTTAGAAATACAGATAGAAAAATAATAACTTCATCTGAGTTTGTCTTCACATGTTTTTGAATTTGAGACTTTTTACACTATATTCTTGAAATATTTTGAGGGAAATTGCCAATCTCTTCATCTCAACTGCAATGTAAACAATGACCTCCTTTGTCTTATCAATTATTGTAAATGTTTCAGTTGTGATATCAGGTTTATATCTTTTCTTATCTTAACACTGCAAGCTCTTCAACAACTCCTTGAAGTATTCCGATTATGAATGAATGATTGAAACTTGGACATAATATTTGCTATGCACAACTTCACCTACAGAAAACACATTTCTAAATCCGTAGCACAAGCTGGTGTGTCTCTTGGCTGCGGCGCAAACTGAAAAAAAAGAAAAAAAGAAGAGAGAACAGAAAGTGGCAGCCTGCACTCAGCATGGAGAAAATGAACCTCTGAAACCCATGCTGACAGTTTTGGTCCCTACTGTTCCCGCTTCCACCAGAGCCATCGCCGGTCTTGGCAACGCGTCACAACCACAAATGATCCTTCCCGCTTCAGCCAGAGCCGAGCAGACCAGTTTCCTCTCTCTCTCTCTGTTTCGCAAAGTTAAAGCAAAGCATATTCGATCCAGTTTGAGGCTCTTACGGATCCAGTTGTTGCTGCCTTTTTGTTTGTTTTTCCATATCTCTCGCTCCATCTAAACCAGCAGAGCCCAGGTTTTCCCCTTTTCCTCTCCGTGTCGGGTGATTGCTTGCAGCTGGAGGTGCTTTGGAGAACATTTTAATATTATGCAGAAGATTAGAGCAAACTAACTACATTATTCTCCAATTACGCTCATTTCATCCAACTGATGTCTTTATATGCTTCCCCTTTGCCTCGATTAGCCTAATGTGAAAAGGGGAAGACGGGGAATGCGCTTAAGACTGTACCAATTGTTCCTCAGCTGCCTATTATTTGACAGCGGCGTTAAAGGGAGGCGTCTCTGAGAACGACTGTAAATAAAACGATTAGGGGGAACATCCAGCCGTGTGCAGGCGAAGATTTCATTTGAGGGATCTGCTTATCAACGTTCTTGGAAGATTTGCAAAAAGAAAAGAAAGAGAGAAGAGCCCGCCTTCCCCCACCTTTATTCCACTCGCAGACTGTCTCCCAAGCCGCATTACTGTCACAAATCTCGCTTTGAATTCCTTGTCATCAAAATAAAATAAATCAATTACATTCCCGCACGCATGCAAGCCTTCTAACACGAGTTGAAATCGTTTCGTCTCCTGTGACCTTAAGCGTGCCAAATTATTAGACACGATAGGTGACAATTGTTGGTGGATCAGCATGTGTGGCTTGGATAATGTTGAATGACGAGAACAAAACCGTCTCTGCGTGGAGGAAGATTCTCTCGCACTGTGGGGGTTCGTAAATGGTTTCACCTGCAAGAGGAAATTTTGGATTTTGCCATGCCAAAAATATTGTTCTATACTTTTTTGTGGGTCTTCTCAACATGTGGAAATTGCGATTATGTCATCCATGTGTTTTTATATACACAAAAATACATGGATGCATAGGCCTGTACTTTCAAACAGTGCAAAGTCTATGATTGATACATCACATTTACCTTCTGCAAGAGCGAATCCTGAAGAATAAGGCCCTCCAGCATGACAGAAATATCAAAGGTGTATATCAGAATTGAAAAAGTTGTATATGGCGTTTTCAAGGTGTAATGTAGACCCATGTTTCCATCTATAGCTGTAAACCCTTTCTTCCTAGGAGGGTGGGTGACTACAATCTGACGTGTCGACACATATGTCCAATCATATTTGTTCATTGACGTGCACTGTCCAAGTCAAATAATTAAATAAATACAAATACAAAAGTTACAATTACACAGCCACCACGGCGGGGTCATGGCCCTGGCTTACCCGTTGGCACAAAGACAGCAGTGAGAATAGTAGGAGTGTTGTTTAAACTTGGTTGGTTTTTCACTCCGGGTGAGATGGGAACATTAAAACGGTCAGAAAAAACTTTCCAAATTGGTCTTAAGTCATGTGTGGGCAGCACGGTGTCTGAGTGGATAGCATTCACGCCTCTCAGCAAGAAGGTTCTGGGTTTCGAATCCCAGTCAGAAAAGGGCCTTTCTGAGTGGAGTCCCCGTGTCTGCGTAGGTTTCTTCCGGGTACTCCGGTTTCCCCTATACCACTAAAAACAAGTGCACTAGTTCAGGGGGAATGAGTGTGTGTTTGTGAGTACAAATGTGGGACAACGGATGCAAATGTGCGATGTGTTCATTAACATGTACTGTCCAACCAAATAGACAATAAATAAAAATGTACCAACTTCAGAATTCACTGCTGTTTACCTCAAATTTATGGAATTACTATAGGTTATAGTGTACATAATTTTTTTCTTCATTGAATATACTCTATATATATTCTATATATATTCTATATTTTCTTTTATTATAGAATCTTATATTGTGTCCTTAAAAAATATGAATAATAATAATGTTATACCCACGACCCCAGAGAGTGGCTTTATACTGGATATACTGCAATCATCCGTGTGGAGCAATATGAACATTTTCAACCGTCATTTTTGCAAGGGCAACTTTATTAAGGAAAGAGCAGCACATGCAACAACCTAAACTATAACTTGTTTGTTATGTGGGTCGTCATTCTTTCATTATGCAAAGTATTGTCGCTCGTGTAACTTGCTTGTACAGTTTTAGAATACCGAGACTATAAAACAGTTTAAAACATACATATTTAAATATTGTGATTTGATATCACACAGTAGCATGGCAGGTCTCCATTCAGGATATGAACTAATCCAAACCAAAACCCATATGTTAGGATTACATCAACAGTGTGACAGTCCATTGAAACTCCCCATGGGCTGAAGAAAGGCTCCGTGTAATGTTTGTTTTTCAGCCCCTTCTCACTTCTGTATCTCGGACTGACTTCTCCTTTGTCCTGGGAGCACAGAGCTGGTGTAGCGTTGGTTTCAGATGTACTGTGGTTGTTTCATCGCTCGCAGCCTGTTTGTCTACGATGGCATTCCTCAATTCCATTCAGCGCCAGGGGAAGAGGATCTCCCCTTAGGCCCAGATGTATTTCCCAGAATCCTTTGCTCCTCATAGAGATGGACCAGGCTGAGCATCTGATCTCATCCCACAACACGCGGCGCACAAGCAAGGCCGAGTCCATTCTGGTGATGTATCGCGTTGCACTAAATCTGCTTAGAAGCTCCGAGGGGAGAGAAACTATGTGCTACAGTTACCAGGTTTGGAATGATTTGACCTAAGCTGTGTCATCATGTACCCAGCGCCATTGTCTGATGAAATGCAGCAATATGACAGATCCACAAAGGCTTTTAGCGTGTCAGAAAAAGAATATTTATTACGCTAAAATTTTCCACTCGCAGGATCACGAAGCTACAGGTTAGACCGAGGTTGCGCAACAGTCTTTGAAGACATGTTATTGTTAATATCAAGGAGTTTTATTCATTTTTCTTTCACAATGGTTTGCCACAGAAAGACACTGGGGGAAAATGTTTGTTTGTCTGTGGAGTAAACTTGCACCAGATGCCATATGCAGTACATTGAAGGTTTTAAATGCGAAGACTCAAGAAAAGTTATTTTTTTCATACCTATAAAAACAAATAGATCATGTAACTAAGCAAAGTAAAGTTATTTTTATAAGGAGCCCAATGGGAGAACACTGCTTCAGCAAAAGTTTGAGGTCCAAGAATCACACAAGAAAACCAGAGAAATTTTGAAGCTATCGCACAGTGGAAGGCTTTAAAAGCCTTATAATATTTGTGTAATAAGTTTTATCATGTATCATATGGTCAAAATGTTATGAATGAATAACATATAACACTTTTCTTTGCAGTGGCTGTAGGAACTTGATGGCCGTACAGTAAATGAACATATCTTGGCCCCTCACAGCTGAAGCCTCCTGCTGCTGCTGCTGCTGCTGCTGCTTCACACACAGAGGTTGAACACAGTGTGGACATGAAGCAGAGACCATCAGCATGGTCTTAGATCACTGCAGCCACATATCTGCGAAGGGGAATGTCATAAAAGTGACTTAATGTGGCGTGCATTCAGCTGCAATAACTATATCTGTCTTACAGTAGACTAGTATTCTTGTATAAGCCTAAATAACAGCAGTAGTTTTCTCAGAGGGTAATGCATATACAATAAAATGTAAAGTATATGGGGCTAATTTGAAGCTGTGGTATTTAACTTATTTATTCTATCTGTAGTTTTCACTTGTTTAGATCACCTTTTTAAGACAAGTGGAAAAAATAGGACCATCTGCAATCCGGAAATCAGGCAAAAGAAAACCTGTTGCAAAAGATGAGATGGAGACACCTGTGGTCTTTGTTTTTTTGTTGGGACAAATGACAAGTATTGTGTATGGAAGAAAAAGTTCCCAGCTCTAATACTCTCCACTAACATAGCTATTCCGATTGTTTGTCATAATACATGTTGAAGGATGGTTTGAGAATGGACAAGAACATAAAACTTGATACCTACATGATCAATACTCAAAACAATTTCTAAACGACAAAAACAAAACAAAAACACTTGGATTCAAACAGAAGGCAGACTATCAATCACAAATTAATGATAGGTTATTTTTGCAGTTCTTTTGGTTGGCATCGTGTCGTGTGATTATGTTGCAAGTCCTTTAGACATATTTATAGTGGAAAGACTTCATTCACATTTCGGTCTCATTACCTGGCTGCTCCTGAACCCGGTGTTAAAGAGGAGTTAAAAACAGATCACATTTCCACAGGTGCTGGAGAAGAACTCGGCTTGGAATGTTTGGACACATAAATCTCTGTAATTGCACGGTATGGATCAGATAACTGGAGCTACGGCTGGCGAAAGGAGACGCCCTCTTTCAGAACGACGTGCCATTTTTCATGCTTTTATCTGACAGAGAGAAGGGAGTGTTAATCAATGCGCTCAGACGTGAACCAAGTCCGATCTGTTGGACTCGATGTGAGGTGCTGACACTTCTGTGGAAAAGGGGAGAAAAAAATACAAAAGATTTTCCGAGACAAGAGTTCTGAGTTCTTCAAAAATGTGACGTCAAGAGTTTTTTAATCCATGACTTGAGCAGCGAAGATGAAAAAGACAAGAAGAACAAAAGAGTTTTTATCCAAACCATCTCCTGATACTGTTTGTAGTATGCTCTGCACAAAAGTGGTATAGCTAAAGAGTCGAGTTCAGACTCAAGATCACGCAAAACCCAACAAAAAGGATATGTCGTTGATTTTTATTATATTTTACATATTAAATATTTAGAGCAAGATTTTTTCCATATTATGTAAAATTTAAGCTATAAACGGCCATTCTAGGCTTAAAAAAAATATACCTTGTATAGGGATATACAGTTGGGGTAACTTTTTTCCATATATAATCCGTTTTGTTGGTCCCAGCAGAAACCCTAACTTTTGAGTAAAAATGCTAATATCTCCCTAATTAAATAGAATTAAATATAATTAGTAACTCACTGACTGCCAGCCATTTTTGATTATTTCACTGATTCTCAAGACCCATAGAATATTATTTCCTAAGACTACGTAAAATGTGAAACCAGATTCTGAAAGACCGGATTATTTACTTTGATCAGCAAAAATAAGTTTGTTTTTAGCTATTTTTATTGTCCTGTAATCCCCAGTCGAACAGAGGGTCTCAAAAATATGCAGTAAATATAGTATCTTTTGCTTAAGTCAATGTTGGCTGCGGTAACTGACCTATAGATGGGACAGAGGCAAAAGGTTTTGGCGAAAAACGAGTGAGAGGAACTAGTGAGATAGGTCATATTGAATAGTTCTTTTTTTGTGACCTTTTTTTGTTACTCCAGTGTTTCTTAAGAACAAATATTATTGAATTGTTCTGTCTCCTTTGCTGAGATGAATCTAAAAGAGTAAACAATAACTGTCAAACTGTGGTCTGGTCTGAACCGTGCATACCTCAAGTTTCTTCTAGTCAGTGACATCACCAGATCATTGTCTCTCCCCTCAGGCCGTGTGGACTGGGGGAGGAGGAAGGGGGGGACAAGGGGAGGCGGAGCACCGGTGACAGGGGCGGGGTCAGCAGGACATAACTCCAGGTGTGCTTTTTGTCTCTGGTGCAGACGCCTCTCACACGGTGTCAGTGGTCAGGTGAAAAATGACAGTTCCGGACACTGGAGACCACAGATTTAAAGACGTTATAAATGTGACCGGTGTGGGAACGAGGAGTAGAGAGAGGTGAGGTCAGAGTATGACACATATAACTTAAAGGGGTAGGAAACGAAATGAATACATATGCAATTTGTGGCATTGTCATTTCTTACTTACATTACAATTTAATCCCAAAACCAAGGTCAAAACTATTATTTCACTTTATATAGATAATTTGTGTGTCGGAATACTTTATACTTACATGCCAGATGTTATGCATATTTATTATGTTAAAGATAGAGATTTATACTTGTTTCTTTGAAGCTAGAGTGAGAGATTTTTTTCTATTTTAACTCCTGTAGTTATTGTTCATTTTTCTTGTGCTGTGTGCTTCTCATTCCTATTCAGTCAACACTGAAATTATCCCCCAAAAATAGAGGATCTCTGAATCTTAATTCTTTGATCAGAATGATAAACTATTTAATATACGGACAATAAAGGTGAAAGAAACTTGAAATTAATCGCATTTGCACAAGTCTCATTTTAATTTGTGAGAGCATGTCATCGAGGTCATACTGTTTTAGTGCAAATATATTTACTTAATCCTAACCTCAATCCTAAAACTGTTGATTTAAGCCATGTGAATGAATCATCTTTAAAGGATTACCATGTTCAAATACAGCTGCAAATATGACTTATATGTCTGGAAACATTGGGTCATGTTTCTTCTTCTTGCTTATTCTAGTCGGTAGGATCAAAGTTAAAGTTCAGGTATTTCGACGGCTGAGGAAATTGCCAACGTAGACTTTTTTGTTTTGGTTTTTCACTCATTAGCACTTTGATTCACATTCAGTTTATTTGCCATTTGCAGTAAAACCACATTGGAATACGTGTGCATAAGTCCCCCAGTGTGCACCAAACCCATACATAAACAAAGCATGCGAAAAAAGTAGACCATAACAATGGTTACCGTGAAACCAATCCACAAAAACAGTTTAAATAATAAGTGTAAGATCATTGAAGTGCTCTGTTCAAACTTATAACAGCTTGTGGAAAGAAGTTGTTAGCATATCGAGATTTCCTGCATCCCAGTGAACAACATCACCTGCCAGAGGGAAGAAGCTGGAACATGGCTCTTCCATCGGTGACCACAAGAGTAATTGATTATTTGAATGATATAGGTTTTAGTATTAGTCGCAGGACTTAGTGTAATACTGCTATTTCAGAATGTCCACCAACCACCAAGTGTCACTTTCTCTACTTATCCTGCCCTATATGTATGTAACTGTACACTATATAGATACTAGCTATTTTTTAGAATTATCTACTGTTTTATTTGTATGAACGGATGTGTTTCTGCTGCTACTGGACACAAGAGATCATTAAAGTATCGATATATTGATAAATTGATATTGCAGCCATTACAGCTCGTTATACAAAACATGGCAGCGAGTAATATTGTATATTTTGTGTGTTTCTTACTACTGTCCCGTATGTGCGCTGCAACATTGATATTTCCCCACTGTGGGAGGAAAGAATGTTATCTTATCCGTTCATTTACTGCATGTACTGCAACAATAGAAAATGACCTTCTCAAATCAATTGTAAATGCATTGATGAGCTCATGAAGCAAACATCCCCTAAAACCCGCAAAGAGACATCTTGGCGTTAGCTTCATGTAGAACAAAAGACTCTCTGCTTACATCTTCTTTCCCCGAAACATGACACAGTGTTTTTACTCCTGCACTTTCCTCCGTCCAGATTGCGGTCCCCGGGGGCAACGGTGTAATTTGGTAATTTGTCCACGGCTACCTTTTAGGATTTTTACAACTTTGTGAAGGAATGCAGTAGTACAATGGGGTGGTGTGGTTGTGTGAACAGCTCTGCAGGCCTCGCTCATTCATAGCCTCGGTGAATGAGTGTGTAGTTACAGTAACAGTGTGGACAGCTTGTGTTACCTGATAATGACTGCCAGTGGTCTTCTGGTCGTGTTGGAGGAATTCCCCTTTGCTTATTGTTGCAAACTTGGGATCCCATAACAATATATTGTATTGCAATGCACTGAAACTCCTTTTGAATAAGATAGTGTGATTGAGCTGCAAATGCAAATGCTATGTTTTTTTATTCCTTTGTGAAGCTCGTATCACGCCTGGAGAAAGTCACAGCAAAGTATCGCACCTGTTCTGACCTCAGCCTGCGACACATCATGGGAATGTCCCACAGTCATTTGTCACATCGTTATATTATGTTATATTATCCGTGTTGGCGTATTGACAACTTTGTAAAGTTTAGGGGAATTCAAAAATAAATTGAATTGAAATTTACTATTAAAAAGTATTTTGATAAAATCATTGTTTCATTACATTCATTCATTTAAGGATGGACGAGGGATGTTTATATTGTTTAATGGTGTAGAATAGGAAAGGCTTAAATGAGCATTACTTATAACATTGTATTATAAAAATGTTCTATAAACAGTCATATTTATATAGTGCTTTTCGACCTCTTCCAGGAACTCAAAGCACTTCACATCAAGGAATCATCACCCATTCCCACACATTCATTCACCTGTGTATGCACACTGGAGGCGACGCAGGTTCAGTGTCTTGCCCAAGGACACATGGCAGCATTCAGCAATGGGAGCTAGTTTCAGAACATACGAACTTGTTGTTGGTGGTTTTAGCCAAGAAGAATGGGCAGCTTTACCGCAGAACCCAAGCTGTCATTAATGTTAAATGGGCAACAAACACTATTGAACACTGGGGGATGGAAACTTCAGGGTCAGAGAGCAGATATTGTTGCCATTAACCTTTTAAACATAGTTTATTTGATTTTGAATGGATTCACACTACCACCAACAATGAGTGAAGTTAAATTTGTGTCATAATTTCTAATCAATGGCATCAAAATGGCCAAAAAAGAACACATTTCTGTGTGGGTGCATACATTTTTAAGGCAAACTTTATTATCTGACCAAAAAGGGAAGTAGTGGCAGTTATTTAGTGACTCCAAGATTAACATGTTTGCAATTATAATGTTTTGATGAATACATACAGATCTGCTTTATGAGGGAAACACAATTTGCCAATGAAAAAAGCTTTAGGTATTCCATACTTTGAGTTATAACCATACAACTACTTTTCACATTCTGACCGCAGCAAACACACTTTCATTTCAACTTAAAAAAAATAAAAGATGTTTCTTTTGACACTATCTTCTCCAAAACATATAGTTATTGTATTGAGGGGAGACTACAGGACCCATAGGCACTTTAGTCCTATTACAGCCTTCGTCCTTTCGCCTGATACATTCTGTCACCCTTCTGTACAAATCCCCTTGATATGTCCTTACACTCTTACATTTAGAAGGCATCAGCTCCCTGCCACTCCCCAAGCCCTCCGCCTCCCGTCCCGCCTCGCTCGCCCGGATTCCGACAGAGGAGGCCCCCACGGGAAACCCTAATCGGCAACGCGCTGGGGTCATCCATCATGTTAGACTCAGCGGGGACATTAGAGGAGGGATGAACAACAAGGGGGCGGAGGCACAGAGGTAACCAGGATGGACAGGCCGGGGCAGCGCTGGGCAGCTCTAAAGACACACACACAATGGAGCCAAGAAGAAGCTCTCGTACATATATGTTTAGGGGCGGGTTGTCATTGTGGCGGAGAGGTTATGGTGGGAGTCGCTCGGACACTGAGGCTCGGCATATGTCACCAGTCTGGTGGAAAAGCAGGGCGCCGCCTCTGCTGGGGCTATACACGCCATTAGCACCATCTGTGACACTGCTCATGAGGCCTTGGTGCGCACAGACTTGCCCCGGTTTGGGCAAAAAACAAGAAAGAAAGAGAGACTTGTGCGTATGGTGTTTTTGATCTTCAACAAGACACAGAATGAATGAAGGAAGAGAAACACATTCATAAACGGGCCATTATACTTCTTCAGCCTCTTATGTTCATTGAAGTGAACTGTGTTGGCATGGTTTTAATCCTTGAGTTTTGGACAATGACGGGGGTTTTTCTTGGGGATGACGATAGTGTGGTTACTTGACACTGAGGTCGATGATCAGGCTATTGTTGTTTGGATAGAGAGCACATTTCAAACTAAATAGTCTTGACCTAAAATATACGTAAACCCGGATTCAAACAAGACACAACATATGAAAGGTTTTTGCCCTACCCTGCGATTCTACCCGAAGGTTGTGAAAATGTTGTTTTCTGAAGCTGCTCTGATCAATTAGCGCTCTGGCTTCTCAGCAAGAAGATCCTGGGTTTAAATCCCAATCAGGACTGGACTTTGCAGAGTGGATATTGCATGTTCTCCATGTGTCTGTGTAGGTTTACATCGGGTGTTCCGGTTTCCCCTACCACTGAAAAGCATGTAGTCCTGGCCGGGCATCAACATCTGGTCCCCAGGTGCTGTACTACGGCGACCACTGCTCCTGACAGAGGCCCTATAGTGACATTACAGGATGGGTCAAATGCAGAGGACAACATTTCCTACAGGGACAATAACGTATAGCTTTGTCAACAAGCTTAATCAACAATGTCAAGAACGGTCATGTAAGGGCTGCCTGGCACATCAAAAAAATCCTGCTGAGAATCCTGTAATATCTTATCTATATATACATTTCAGGGTTTCTCTGTGGACGCCTTCACAGTTCAATCACGCATATTGATTTGACGTAAGGTTTCACGTGGAAAGCCATTTTGGCCATGACTTCAATTATCTTTTGCCTTAACCCAACCTTCATCGCTGCATATGCATTCATCAGATAACAGAACAGAGACACATGTTCCCCATCCCATATCTTTACAGTTACAGGCCTCTTATCACCCTTGCTTCCTGCGCTTGCCTCCTATGTTTTTTATTTTTTTTTTCAAAGCATGAGAACTAGCCGGGACGATTAAGGAATGCTAGCCCGGGCTAATCACCCCGGACTGGTGCACTTCCGCTGCGCTGATTACCGAGGAAACCATTAGTGAGAAGAAAGTGGCTGAATCTTTCATCCTGGACGCAGGGCTCAGGGGAGGTCAGAGAGGGGTGTGTTTGATAGGCCATTTACCCTTCCTGTTCTTATTATTGCAGCATTTCCTCTATCTGGACTCGACACGACTGCAGCGGGCGAGCGAGAGGACCCCAAAAGACCAAACGTGCCCACCCTCCCTGCGCCGCCCCGCCGCAAAAGGAGCCGTAATCATTGCCATACAGACCCGTGTCCTGGTCTCACTGCTGGTCCAACACCAGAGCTGATGAACTTTGCTGTGTGTGTGGGGAAGATTCTATATGGACTTGAGAGATGCAGACGGAGAAAGTCACAAATTAAATAGTAGCAGTAGTCTATTTGTGCCGTCATTATGTACATTCAATCTTTGGTCATGTTTTCAAAAATCATATACACTTTACAATTAGAAAATAAAAAAACTGAATTGTGTATATTAAGAATTTTAATGATAAATAATGTCTAAAATATTACATGTCTGTAATCAATAGACAAATGTACTGTAGATCATATTGCACATTTTTATTCTATATTTTAAATCTCAATATCAAGTCATTTTTGACTTGATATTGAGATTTAAAATATAGAATAAAAATCAAGTATCCGATTACATTGTAAGTAAAGATCGGTTGTGGTGAAAATATGGGATCTTCAGTGCGAGTGAATCTTGCTAGAGATTTAACAAGACTAAAAAGAGCATAAATCACACTCAAACTGGGACCAAACGAGAGGGGAAACAGTTATAACATGCCTAGATGTTTTTAAAAGTCAATTTTGCTTAATAAGTCATCAAGAATGAGCCAGTAACAGTTACAAAAACAAAAAGATAGACTAGAACATTCACAAACCGTCTCTAAAATAACAATTAAAAGAAATGAGATGGACATTCTGAGCAGTGGTTCTACTGCTGTGGTTTAGTTGCTGGAGATTTGTGACCTCAATGTAAATTAACAAAAAGTTTATTTGAATAGCACAGTTCATACAGAAGGCAACAACTCCATAAAACAAGTTAGAAACAATCACAAAAGGCATTAAAATCATATATAATGATAATGATAATGAATGTACTGTTAATCATAAATAACAGTTCATTAAAAAGAGTTAAAATCCTAGATGTACGCACGATTAAAACAGAACAGAATCCTGTCTCATATTTTCAGGAAGACTGCCACAGATTTTAGCTGCCTGAATCCGAAATGCTGCCTCCCCATGTTTAGTTCTGACTCTGGGCACCAGCAGGAGGCCAGTCCCTGTGCTCCTCAGAGTCAAAGTTGGTTCATATGGCACAAACATATAAACCAACTTTCAGATGACTTCTACTTTACCTTCCAGACTATAGACATTATGACTCAGAGCACGGCACTGGCTCAGGATGAAGCTATATTTGACCAGGAAGTGCTATGTCGGCCTTTTTCCTCCACGTACACCGCATCGTTCAAAGTCATTCGTTCTTGCGACACTATGATGCTAAGGTGTCATAATACTGAGCAGTCCATAATCACACGACGATAAAACAAGCTTGTATTTGCCTTTTATTCTTCGGAATCGTAATGCGCACACACCTTTTTTCCAGTTAAAGTTATTTGCTGAGGATAAGGTGTCTGCATGCATGAGACGGTAAATGGGATCAGTCCCTGGGCTGATGGTGACTGATGTCGGGTCGCAGCCGTGAGCCTAAACCACAAACAGCTCACCGTGACTCACTGCACCAGTTCTCACAGGTTCTCACTATCAGCACTGAGACAACCCAATCCTACTTTTTTTTCCGAAAACGTTAAAGTTCACACTAATACTTTGCTGATATAATGCAAGGCAGTGTCTCCCAAAGTGGGGTCCGCGGCCCGGGAGGTCATAAAAAAATAAAAAAATAATATCATTATTTAATGTTAAATTTATAATGTTTTGTTTGTAATATTAAAATATTTGTGTTCATTATTTGAGTTGAATAATCCACTGTAATCATTTTTGTATTACAATGGTTGTAGCAGAGGCTATTTCCCCAAAATAAAATAACCAGAAGAGCCTATTCTTAATGTTGTCTTCTTGGTTATTATTTTGGGGGGCCACGCAGACCCGTCAGATTTTTAAGGGGGCCTCGGTGTTACTGAGTTTGGGAATGGCTGATGCAAGGTATACAGGCTAATCTTAAAACATTTGTCAACATTTAACTAAATGGTGCCCTGGCATGAGCTCTGGTGTGTATTGTTTTGGTGCACACTGAGGGCGAAGTCTTGCACAGTTTTTCCAATGTGGTTTTACTGCAAATGGCAAATAAATTCTTGTATGTTGTAAATTGTACTGTGTTGGCAAATCTCTGCTCTTTGCGATAGGCCAAAGTCTGGATAAAATTATGCTAGACCTAATTAACTAAGTGACTTTTGTGCAAACACATACAACCATAACTTTCACCGCTGTTTATGTAAAATAAGAGATATTTTACATACTCTAAGTTGTGTTTAGAATGATACATGCAGATTTGAATCATACAAATTACTCCCCAAGATGCACACAATTTTGAAGTATTAGGTTAAAACTTTGTTCCTGATTGTCTTTTTTCTATAAATATGATTCTGCGGTAATGCACAAGCTTTTTTTGCTTAAAGGGGCAACAAATAACTTCTATTCAAATTAATCTATATCACTGACGTCGCGAAAGGTGGAGGGGCAGATTCATAAGGAGTATTTGAATGTGTTTTGTACCTTTGTTTTAACTCTCTATATATTTTTATTATATACATTATGTACTAAATGTATTTTGAACCTTGGGTGTCAATATCTCTACCAGACAGAAGCACAGTACGTCTTCTTTAACTTTAGCATGTATAGAAGGCAGTAAATCATCCTCTCCATTGTTTTATTGTACATTTTATTGCTTAAGACAGTGGATATACGTTTATAGGGATTTACCGCTCGCCTGTAAACCAATACCTGGAGACTCGACAGAGAAATCAAGCCTTTTTGTTTAAGTGTATCATTTCGGTAGCCCGTGGTTTCCTTTCAGCCGGGCGCATTCCTGTTGCAGTGATACCCAATGTGCTTTCTTCGCTAATACCCCCTCTGTTTTTTAATGCAGCGATCAGTTTCATGTTGACAATATCACCGTACAGTGGCAACATTCTTCAAACATTGGTAAACACACAACACTGACAGTGCATTTACGGATTGACTTTCATTTAGGAATTCCCCGATACGCCTCTTGTTCCCACCCTGTCCAACCTGCTTGTGCCTGGCATTGTCTTTCTCCATGATTTTTCACCGCTCGCGTTACAGCAGTTGGGTTTTATAGTCTTTGGTAATGTGAACACACTTGCAAACAGCTATTGTATGAGTCCACTTATGGGCCGCACAGAGGCTGACCCCACCTGGGCTTTTGTTTTATACGCTGCGCAAGGACTCTCGTGTCACTTTAAAATCCCCCGTGTGTCTAAAGGCGCAACCGCAGGAACATGGCGGCACACCTGCAAACGAATATCTCACACAGGGCAGTCAAATGCACACGACTATATTACGATTATAGAGAGCTCTCAAACGCGCTGAACGGATGGGTTTCCTTGTTTTTGCTCCTGAGGGCTTAACAGGTGTGTCTTCTTATACACACACACACACTTGAAGACACCTTTAGACTCTGACCTTTGCCTGCGTTTGAAAATGTAATGGGAGAATTAACCAACAATCCTGACATGAAAGGATCTCAGTATTAGCAGCAATATAGACTTTCAAACAAAGTTAAGACTGGTATGAATCCAAAAAAATGCTATTCCAACCGGGTTTTACTATACAGAATGATTCAGAAATTGATGTAAAATATTATGATGCAATAATGAATTAATCAGTGACGTATAAACGACACAATTACATACGATACAATTATGCATTCACAAATCAATCAATCAAAGTTTATTTGTATTGCACAATTTGTCCAATTCAAAGTACTTCATAATTCTAACTCGTGCAATACAAGTGAACAGGGAATAAAAGATTTATATTTAATAGAAAATACAAAAATGGCAAATTTGTTTTAAGTAAGTAAGTAAGTAAGTAAGTAATCTTTATTTATATTCCACCTTTCACAGACCAGAGTTACAAAGCAGTTTACATTTGTTAATTTTTGGGCATTTGTCCTCTCACTCCACAGAGATGGGAGCGGGGTTAAATCATAAAAAATGTCATATACAAGGCAACACAGATGTGTTTTCAACCCAGTCTTGCTCAAACTCCTGGAAAGCAGTTCCAGAAACGCTGACCTCCCATGTTCAGATCTGACTCCGGGCACCAGCAGGAGTCCAGTCCCTGTGCTCCCCAGTGTCCGACTTGGTTCATTTGGCACTAACATGTCTCGGATTTACTTTGGTGCAAGGCCATGGAGAGACTTTCATACAAGCGGAGTTGCTTAAAAGTGTGTTCTCTAAGCCGCAAGTTCCTGTGCAGAGACCTGAGAACTGAATTCGCAATAGGGTGGTAGTCTGGTAGTCTGATGGAGAATAACGCAAATATACAATTTCTTTATTTTAAAACCTATTTTTATCTGATTGTCTTTAATTGCTTTTTAATCATTTTATCACAGCAGTATGAAAACAATAATCCAGTCCAGTTTGTTTGGCCACAGTGAAAGAAATGAAGATGGATTGAAGACATGACTGTTGAAAAAACACCAGGGTCCATTCATATCTCCAAGGACATCATCTCCACTCTTCCTCATATGGCCAGAGCCCTGCAAACACTGTTGTTTGTTATAATGCTATAAATCAGGACTTATGTTGTGTTTAACCTGCCACTGCCATTAACACACAAGAGAAAAACAGCTCTTTCTTCGTATTATTATTGTTTCAAACTTGGGTTTACGTTACTGTGCATCCCCTCCTGAACCATTACTGCAGTGTTCTCAGGGCGTAAGTGAAATCCGAGAGCTTTATCCTTATGGCGGGTGCAGGTTTGAAGTAAAAGCTCACCACCCTGCAGTTGTCTGGGGACTCGTAGGAAAAACTGGCTTTTGACCCGTTTTAGTTCCAAATGTGGGTTCAAAAGTGCTCTGAATGTTAGGCCTTTACTCTCAACTTCCATTAAAGTTGGCACATGTAACTTTCAAATGATGGAACATTGCAAAAAAAATAAAATACATCTAATTAGTTACAGATCTTCTATCACTACTTTCTACGTGTATACAGTATAGCCTCTGTCACATTGTTTAGATCCGC